CCCCACCCCCTCCCCCTTCTTTTTGCTGAATTTTCTACAATTTCAAAGAGGAAAAAGTACCGAGAGGGTCTAAAAGCTATATTGGGAGAATTCCCTCTGTAAAAAGTTTTGAATATAATAACTGCCGCAATCTGTGTGAGTGCATAGTATGTATGGAAGTATGCATGTATGAATGTTATGGACAACGTTGTTTTTTTATATGTAGATTTTGCTATAGAAATGGAATTACGGGTGCGATAAATATGAGATTTTGTAACAAATAAAGTTTATATTTTTACAAGAAAAAGGTCTCGGTCTGTTTAGTAACCATCTCTTAACAGTGTCCTCTCCTTTGAGAACACTGCTACCATTTTTTTGTGCCCTTTCTATCAAGAAGGCTGTACAGGGCCACATGATTTCTAACAGTGGCCCAGGTTAGCGACCCCAACTATTTTGCACTAAACACACAAAGCTGAATTAGGCAGCAATGTCAGCCGTAGATGGGGAGGATCCCATTGCTATATCTGCACTCTTCCACTATGCAGCCCTGTCCCCTGTACCACTTCTCAGCCTTGACTAGGGGGAAGGGGAGGGCAGTTTTTTATCTTCTCCCTGAGCACTGAATGATCCTGTCCTGGCACTGCATAGAGGTAAGGTTTGTTTTTGGGTAGCACCAATAGTTATCTGGTTAATTTTGATTCAACATAAAAAAAGAAAGAAAATTAAATGAAAATTTGGTATGCTATGGGCAACACCACTGATCTAACTTTCATCTGGTTTTCAATGCCATAGTTACATTGTGCCTAGATTGTACATTCCATCTGTTTGTATTGCTTGTTTTTTTTATTAAAGATTTTATGCAAGCCAAATAAACAAATTAGGTGACAAGATGATTTTCAGATGAAGAGAGAACAAAAAATTCAGCTGTGAGACAGTTCATTACAATTACACATAGGCAGCCAAAACAATTAGTGTGGCTGTTTGAAAAGAGATCATTAAAACACGCATTCCAACAGAGATGATAACCTTTCATATGCTTAAAATCCAGATGGGGTAATTGTGATAAAAAACTAAATTAAAAAAAGACATTTGAGAAGCAAGTCATTCAAGTAAATTACTGGAGATGTTCAACTGCATGTGAGCAAAAAATACTTTTTGGAAATACATCAATAATATGTTAGAATTTCACCAGTCAGCTGCATTCTGTTTCACAATTAATTTCTATTGGCTACAGTCATTTACAACTCCACTCTTTGCAAAGGCTGTATTTGCAAAGGCTATATGCACCTATATCAGCGGTGGCCATATACCAAAAAAGCTGACTACATAATATTCAGTATATAGTACACTGCAGATATAGTACTGGCAATGGCCAAAAGCTGCAGACAAGCCACAGAGGATAGTTAGAGACTGAGAGTATGCTACATGCAGAGGTGTATCTACAAACAAGTTCACTTATGACAAGCACTGAAATTGTGCCCCTTTTTGACGTCAATAAGATATGTGGTGTGCTGGTAACATACTCTATTCCTTTCCAAAATCTGACATATTTTAAATAACATCAGCTCAAATAATGCAAATAAAACTTGTTAATTTTTGATTTGGCACTGCATGAAAATTGCAACCACACCTTCAGGGCTGGATTTACTCTCCCTGCTGCCCCAAGGCCAGGTCCCGCAATGCACGCCCTTCCCCGCCTATTCTCATCAATGGAGAATGGCAACCGGATGGCAGTGGTGACAAAGTTAGTTGTAATTTTTTATTGTTTCTTTATTTTTTTAACTTCTTTTTCACTTTTTTATTTATCTTTGTAATTTTTAAAAATTTTATTTATCTTATCGTTTACTTTTTTAATTTCTTTTATAATTTTTTATGTTATTATTGGTTATTTATTTTTTATAATTTTTTTCTTATACTTTTTCACTTTTTAAATTTAAATATTATTTCTTATTTTTTACTTTTGTTTATTTATATTTACTTTTTTTTTATAAAAGAAAATTTCACTTAACTTTATCGCTATCACACAGGAGCTAACAAGCCCCTGTGTGACATCATTTCGAGGTGACATGTTCTCTTTATTGGCCCTGTCACCTCCAGGACAGGAGTTCTAGCACATCACTGTGCTGGAACTCCTGTGACAGCTGAGAGAGTAAGAGAACAGCTCAGCTCACTATACTGCATGGGATAGTATAGTGCATGTTGGGAGATGTTTAACTATTATAAAACAAATTCATTGGCAGTGCAGGGTTATCATTAATCATTTGTGCCCATCAACAAAGGTTGACAGAATAGACCCTGCAATGATTTAAAACAGCTAGCTGGTGTATATGCCTATGGACAGGCAGAAGCAACAAGTACTGAATGTACTAGGGATGCTCTTGGCAAGCATTGACACCACTGTTTGACAATTGCTGTATGGGATGCTGCCAGAGTGTCCCTGGTTGCTAAGAACCAGGCAGGTAGATGTGTGAGGTCACTGGTTGCCAGGAGCCGGGTGGGACGTCACCAGACCATCCCTCGTTGCTAAGAGCTGGGCAGGAAGACGGGTATGAGGGAGGGGTGGCAAGAGTAAGAAAAAAAGAAATAGAAAGAGGGAGAAAAAAAGAGCCAGAGGGGAGGAAAAGGGCAAAAAGAAATTAAAAAATGAGAGCGGCAGTCTGCTGTCTCTGCTGTCTCCATGGTTTGGCAAACTTTCGCTGGCCCACAGGGCAGAGCTACCCTTTCCAGTGGCACCCAGGGCATGCACCATATGTGCCGTACCCTGGACTTTTGGTCTACGTTTTGGTTTTGGCAGTGCAGGCCAGTTACCATTGTACAGTGTTGCAGTTCTGGCACTGTTATACCATTGGTCAGTTCACACAGTGACATAATGCAGATCAACAGTCCAGGAATGCTTGTCATCACAGTATTTCATGTCATGCTCTGATCAGTCCTGAGTAAGTATCCAGCCAGAAAAAAAAACACTGAATACTGGCTGCTGGGCCCTGAGGGCCACACAAGTACAAAGGGCCACAGGTTGAGCACCAGGGATCTATATTGTTAGCTCTGAACGAATGAGGGAAATGTGCACACTGCTTGAGTAAGGTCACCATTAAAAACGGTGCCTTTGCAACAGTTTATTTTGGCAAAAGTGCAGCCCTTGCAAATAAAATGTGGCTAGAAACTAAAGTGGAAAACTGTACGACCAGAGCTTCATAATCAGGCCTCCATACATGTCCACATACCTGCACATGTGCACATACCTTGGACACAGACCAAATTACTTCTGCAGCATAGCAGTCAGACTTGGCATATCCATAATTAACCTCTTTCTTCACTAGGTGGCACTAAACTCATGTTGCAGGCAAGAAGATTCTACAATTCCCTCACTACAAAAAGAATTGTATGACTAATTCATGGATTCAACGCATTCTAAACGCTACCTCAAATCAAGGATAAATATTATTCACTGCATGCATGTAAAATATGTCTCAAACAAAAATGGTGATATTCCAGCTGTGTCATTTTTCTTCTCTAAGATATTACATGAAAACCAGAATCTGGTTGTTTTGGGAAAATACATTTCTTTCCTACAGTTTCTGCTCATCAAATAAAGGAAAACAAATCAACAGTCACTGCTAATGCTATTTTTTGCCAGTGCAAGAACCAAGAGTGTCCCATGAAAACAACTAAGCTGCAGGAAGCACACAAAAAATGAAATGGCTTCAAATACCAGTTACAATTACGTATGTAAAAGTCCCCGCACACTCACATCCACATCTGCACAGAAACTGAGAAGCTTGACATTTGTGTAAACTTGCTATGCAGCCATTTGCTTTGTAATTTATGTGTTTGATAATATTGCCTTTCTCTATGCCACATTCATTTTTATTTTATTTTATTTTATTGTAAGAGTACACTTGAGTCACATGGATGAATGGCTAGAGTGAGTTTAATGATCTGGGGAACTTTGCTTTCTAATCCATCTTTTTATGTTGTTTTCTGTGGCCTAGAAGTGAAGGTCTTGGTGCAACGGGTCACAGCTGCTAAGAAAACTGGCACAGCCTGAGCCGGAGCTCAGGTCCATCCTCCAGGTCTCTTTCTAACTAAGAATACAGCTCTGCCCTTTTGGGCTACCAGTCTGAAAGGAACACCCCACTGTAACGGGTCCTAATTTTGGGCATTTTGAAGGGATATAAGAGCTAAACTATTCTCATAGAATATGTCTGATGGGTTCGCTAGCCAACAAAACATCCTTCCCTATATATTCATGCAAATAGATGATTCTGTTTTTGGGCTTTGGAGGTAGGAGCATGCCTAGGGTAACTGCTATCTGAGGTTGCTATTTTTAACACACACCCATCCCTTGCATTAAAAGATCAGTAAAAATGTAAATTCTGTGGCTGGGAGCTCTGCTTAGTGAGGCCACTGTGCTTGTCACAGCAGCCAGGAAGTGAGCTTGTGGCTTTACCATCAAGCAGTCCTAAGGACAGAGTGTCCCATGAACTGCCCCCAAACTATCCCCCTCATCTCTGCAGTGCCTCTCTTAGTGCCTCATTGGAAACAGGGCCCTCTTTGAAGGAGTCAGTTGTTAGGCCTTTTAGGCTTTGTCTTTCTGCCCCATGGCTACATCAATGTTGGAAAAGATGGATATGAAGTGGAACAACATTTTGTATTGTCAGGATAATGTGTTTTTTTAACTTCCAGACATCCTTGAGATTTACCAATGTTATATTTATGATCTCTTTAAATATACTTGAATCTTTGTCATAAACGTTACTCAGAGCCATTCCTGCAGCTTTTGCTTTGTGACCATGCCTGGAGTGGCAGCCAGTAAAGTGGAGAAGCCACCTCACTACTTTGCAGGACATAGAAGGAACTGGTCCATTTGTGCTTATTGTTGTGCTGATAGTTGTGTCTTGCAGCCTTTGGCCCATAGAAAGGGATCAGCGATGCAGTGAGAATGTCAGAGCCCCTCAACCGGATGCTCTATTGGTTTTAATGTAGGGCTAGAAAAATCCCTCTGGCAATATAAAAACATTCTGATAGGCTGACAGGCTTCATTACAAGCTGACTGTTGGGTATGTATGAGTTTGATAGGATTTTATGAGCTCAGGGGGGGATTCATTTAAATAGTTCTATATGCTGTGAAATATGTCTGTGCGAAAGAAAGAAATTCAGCATGCTACAATAAAAGCAGTTTTTCCCATCCATCGGAAATTTTGGAATCATGTATGACATTTTATTATATATGCAAGTCTCTTACTTTAGATTCCTGACTCCTTACACTGTAGTAGGAAAAAAGTGCTACCAGTATAAGCAGTTCTAATGGAATTCCATCCAGTCAATGATTGGGACATTTTTTTTAGCCGTGCTTACTTGTTGTTTGAGGCTTTTTACATGGGGTATCAGTCACTGTAGGGCTACTAACATCTTTTAATAAGCCATTTATACTGGCTGCTGGGCCACAAGACGAGATAGCTCTAGGAGGTCTCTTTCCCGGCACTTTCACTGTTGTTTTTAAAAGGTCCATCTCCTTCCCATGCGTGTTGTGCAGGTAGTCCTATAACACAGACAAAATGGAAATGTGAATAGCGATCATGGTTTGAGTCAATCCATACTGAATAAAGAGAAAGGGAAAGCACATACAGTACATCCGATATCTGTTTTATTTCTGTATTAATCTTATCTAATCAAAGGAAATCTTTTCTTTGAATTTGGTTTATGCTTCTACTGACAAATTTCGCTTTGTCACCCTCCTAATTGTTACCATGCTAGTAAAAGCTTCTATAGTATAACTTCCTCTCAAAGCCAAGCTCTCCAGGAGTCTATGCTAAGACAGCAACAATGTAAAGAAGGCTGATAAGAAGTAGAGAAAAAAACAAACAAACAAAGTCATTTCAACTCCACTTAGTACCATAACTTCTAATGTGACCACATAATTAAGCATGCTACAATAAAAGAACTATGGGGTCAGGGCTTTTCCCCATAGTTCTTCTAAGGGTCACGGGAGAACACAAACTAGCGTTCACCCGTGACCCAAAGCTCAGTATACCGCGAGCTATACTGAGACGCCGCAGCCCGGACGGATCCCGACAATACTGTCTGGATCCACCCAGCTGCGGTATTGACAGCTGGCTCTCTCTATCCAGAGACAGAGCCAGCTGTGCCCACCCCCTCCCCTGTCCGTTTCGCCAGTCAGCGCTGGAGGATCGGACAGGGGGGGGGGGGGGGGGGGAGAGAGATTTAAAAGCAGTGTCTCTTTCACCAATGTAATTTTGCCAGATAATGTAATAAAGACTTTTGGTGATACTGGAATGAAAACAAACTTATAATGATGGAATTGTTTCTGTGGAAATTTATGTTTTGGGACCGGGTTGTCATCGGAACAGCAATACCTGGGAAATCTTGCAAAGGGGGCACTAGTTCAGGTGACCCTGTTGACCCCTAGGAAACGCTCTCTTTTCGGACGGGATTTTTTCACTTTCTGTTGTGGTTATCAGACAGGAAGTAAAGGGAATTCTGCCCCAATGGGACACAGATGACAAAAATTATGACAGGAGGTTTAACCCTCCCTGACATTATCCAAAACAAAAAAAAGTTTTGGCTTCAGTTCTATTTTAACCAACCACATCTGAGGACTGGTAAGCTGCAATACATAAAACTTTTGTTTTTTGGGTTTAGATACACTTTATAGAAATTAGAGAAATTAAAATGTTACCCTTGCAACCGTGCCAATTCGAACAGGACATGAGGGAAGACTCTTCCCAACCAAGAAATGACTTACTATATTACAATTCAATGATACAGGTTATGTACACACTTTCATGCAATACATTATAAAGGGATCACAGTGACTACAATTTTCATTGCAGACTCTCCACGAGCAATGGTTGCTGTGCTCAATCAATCCATTTTGTTTTTTTTTTACATCACCACCACTTATTTTTCCTTTACAAAAATACTATATGTTACAGAAGAAAGGAGTGATTCCTGAATATACTCACATTAATACTTGGATGATAGAGCAACACTCCATTACTTGTCAATGTAACATACTTTTTCTTCCACTCCTTGTTCAGAGAATTACCACTGCGTTTCATTAAGAAGCTCTGTAATGTAAGAAATACAAAGTGTTTGAAAGTTATCAGTTCATAAAAGTTTATCTTAAAGCGAACACTGTTCAGAATTGTTACATATTATATGGCAGTGATAGGCAACCTGCTACATATCAGAAGCTCCCTATTTGTCACCTCAAATCTTTTAAGAGCCTACCTGTTACATTATCTTTGATTGTTTTCAAAACAAACATAAATAAACTGGGCAGAGATATAAAGTGTGTCAAGCCTTACAGTATGTGTAGTACACACCATCGGCATGGGGACAAGGTGCTTTTCCATGGGCGACCCTGGAAAAGCACCCTCCCAGTGCCAAGGTCATGTGGCCTGGTGTGGGAGGGGGGGGGCACTCGCTCGTTCCCTCCCCCCTTTCCTGCTCGGGTCAAGGGTCTGGTATGGAATTTTAGGGGGGGGGGGGCATTTTTAGAGGTGGGGTTCCTCCTTAAAATTCCTACCAGCCTACCAGACCTTAAGGGCCTGGTATGACTCTAAGGGGGAACCCACACACACTTTTTTGTTTTTTTAAGATAAGGGTCTGGTATGACTTTTAGGGCGAACCCTACCCTTTTCTTAAAAAAAAATTGGTCCCTCTTAACATTCCTACCAGACCTTTTTTTTCCATTGATTCCTGTCCCCTAGGGCAGTACCCGGACCCCCATACACCTTTTATGGCCAATAACTTGCATATAAGCCCTCTTAAAGGGGACAATAGTTTGCGAAAGTTCGACCACCATTGATTTGCGTTGGGTTCGAATTCAAACTTTTCGGCCGTTCGAATACGGGGGTGTTCGGCCCATCTCTAGCCACAAGGTCCATCTGACTCAATTCTGCTAGGATTAGGAGGAGGGGGTATATCACTCCTCTGAGTCATTCTCCAGCAAGTATAATTTGATCTTTCTGGTATTTGGGTCTATTTCAGAACACTAGCTCTTACAAGAGCCTCAGTAAAGTTGTTGACTTTGCTTAGATCTGCTGGTTGTAAGTGCTAAATACAGTAAACTCCCAGTTATCTGGTACCCATCGGGATTGGTAGATGCCGGATAGCTGTAGTATTTTGGTTGCTTAAGAGTTACTAATTACTCTCAAGCAACACCCCGCCCCATTCATCTACTGGATAGATTCTGCTATTGGCTATTTCAAATTGCCATAGCCAATAGCAGGTTGGTTGTTGCACACGCCCACTGCCTGTTGTTTACATTCATCTGCCAGCTGCAGAATCTAGCCATCGGCTGCAGCAACATGTAAACCGAGAATTTCGTTAGCAACTAAAAGAATGTAGTTGCTAACAAAAATGTTTCAGTGTGCACATGTCTATCAAGCAACTGGCAAAAAAAGAGGACTTTTATGTCTTCAGTATTTTTTCTGGTTGCTTGAGAGTTCTGGTTGCTTGAATGCCGGATAATGGGGAGTTTACTGCATAAAATATTCATATGCAATGGGAATATAAAAAAACAAAGAAGTATCTCCTTTTTAGCCCTAAACATAATAAATAAAATGAGTTCAAAAACACCAAAAATCCCTTAAATGGTTGTTTTGTATTGTTCTGGTTATAAATCATAATTCAGTAGCATAAAGACAGAAATATATCACAGTCTAATGAATGTATACAAAGTGTAGTGGAACACCAACCCTCAGCAACAATACACAGACTTATCTTGTAGTGCCAGTGAAATCATTAGGTTGTGGTGATAATCAAAATACTGTTACTTATCATAGGGTGGAGTAACACCTCTTGTATAGCATCTATGCATTTCACACATAGCAGTTGACACATTGTAACCATACATTCATTTAGAAAGTGTTAATTTTTACATCGATTTCTCATTTAAACTATTTAAACAAAAGTCGTGTGCTTTCCGATGACATTCCTAGTGAGGGACTGTCACCTGAAGTCACAGAATGTAAACATGCAATCCAAATATAACCATTCTGTCTTATGAACATACAGAAAAGCACTAAAACACCACAGCATTAGGTGTTAGATAAATGCAAATCGGTCTTGATGAGCTCCAAAATATCCCACCGATTAGGTCTCAGCAGAGGGCTGGTAGCTCTCAAACAGAAATAAATATTTGCTAGAAAAGACTGATGACTTTCAATGAAGATTCTTCATGTGTAGAATTTGGTAACTGTGTCACTGCAGGGGTTCATTTAGAGTTATGGATTAGGTTAGGGGTTAGGATAGGTAAGTGTTATGCTCATGAGCTAGGTGCTTAAGATTAGGGTAGGGGATAAAATGATAGGATGCAGAATACATTTTAAGCATTAAAAGAAAAGTAAGAGAGAGGAGAGTAAAATATACTCTTCTCATTCTCAATACTTAGAGGCGGCAAGGGACACAGCCGAGCCTATACCAAGAGCTGAGTGGTCATGTAGCCGCTGACAGCTCAGCTCAAAGTCTCCTCCCTGCAGGTAGCGGTAACTAACAGTCACCGCTCTCCCCGCTAGGAATCCCCGTACCCTCTCTGTTCCCCCAGTGCTCATTGGAGGGATGACAGGGTGTAGGGGGCGGGCACAACTGGCTCTGGCTCTAGAAAGGCAGAGCCAGCTGTCAATCATGCATCCTGGTGGATCCTGACAATATTGTTGGGATCCTTCCCAACTGCAGTACAGCTCTGCACTGTCAGTAGATAATGTACTGTAGACTGCTAGATGCTGACTTTGCGTCATTAGGAAATGTACTTCTGTGATGCAAAAGAGAAGTAAAGACAGAAAAAGGTTTGGCATTACTTCTCTTTTTAAAGAGAACCAGGCTCTCCTATAAAGTATGTACACGTGCCCTTATTTAGCTGTAACTCCTATGTGTGGATGATTCTAGACCCTTGGAGATAAGGATGCAATGTCACCAGAAATCTGACAGTCAGGGTTGGATTTCTACATAGTCAACATAGGTCATGGACCAAGATAAAAAAAAAGGCTGCAAAGGGCAGGGCACAGCCACCCACACATCACTTTGTAGAAAGTCACATATTTTCATATGCCTCCCTGTCTGATAGTGTCTATGACTGCCATCCAATTAGATCCTGAATGTTGCTTTCCCTGCATTCTTGCTGGTGGAATGTTGTAAAAAGTGGTTGTTAACCACTATGGCACTGTACCTAGAACCAAACTGCTAGCAAAGTGGGGTCACAGTTTGCCTAATCTTCTAGTCATTGATTGTAGGTATAGTAACAAAAAGCTTGCAAACTATCTTTTTTCAGGCCTCTTTGCCTTCAGTCTTGGTGTGCCTGGTGTAGCGGTGACATTTATTCTTACTACTGTGATAGTAAAGTTATCTAGTCCACTGGGGTAGAGTGCAACATGTAACATGGTTACAATCCCCAACTCAACAAACCCCCC